CAAAAAACTTCTTTGCATCAGGTGCACAAGCCAAAGAGTAATCCTACTAGAAGAGTAAAAAGATTAGCTATAGCCTGCACACTGACTGATGCTCCACCGTATTGTTTTTATTCAGGCCAATCTGCCAAACCAGTCAATAGTGATTCAACATTAAATCTTCCTCAGGTATTCACTGTATACACTCACTGAAAAAAATTAATACATTTGCACCAGATGGGAACAGAAATCCTGGCATTCATCCGCCCTCGTCATTAGCTAAGCTAATTACACAGTGTAGACCACATCTATATACAGCCTAATGACACAGAGAGGTGACATGATAGCCTGGTAATTTTCACCAGTTTAAACACACACTTCAAACCAACATGGCTCTGCTGCTCACTGGTTTCTGCTGTTCACAACAGGTTTAGCAGCGAGGGTACATACTGTAGATTCAGCTGGTTGCTACTGTACTGACCTCAAAGTCCTGGTCAGACAGATAGATGTCAGGAAGATTTAGTTTTTTGTCCCACTGTTCATTGTAGTTTGAGCCAGACCAACCCTGTCTCCCAGTAAATACTTTTCATACAATACCTTTTTTGAGGAACATAACTGCTGACTAAATTATCTTTGCTGGTGACATCTTTTCCATTCCAAGAAACAATGTGGTCGTCCTTATCATACTGATAAACTAACACAGCAAACTCAACCGAGGCACAATTTTTAATCAAGACAACATCAACCCAAGAAATATATCACACAGTAAAAAAGGCTGTGCTTAGCAAAATTTAAATTTAAAATACTAGCAAAAATCTGGTGCAAAATTGCATTTGAATTAAAAGAATACACACTCTCAGTCCCTGTGTGTAATAAAACATTTGAAGAGGTGATGTCCTGGTTTAAGCAGTGACATATAGAACAACTGATCTAATATAAAGAATACTAAGTAATTAAACCTGGGCCTGTATTTGTACTCTTACCACGTGGTGTTGCAGGATAAGGCTGTTTCTGTGACATTATTTGTTAAAAAACAGCTGTTGTAGCCAGGGTATACAAGGTGCCTGCAGCCACATTCACCAAACAGTGTCATGATGGATGCCTAGTCAGAGGCAGACTGGCATTTGTTTTCAATCAGAAACGTAACAGCAGACTCCTGTAAGCTTAAAGTGATGGAAGCTGTGTGGTAATAGTATGAAGGTTATGGTTTCTTTGTTTCTGATAACACTGCTGCTGTGACTGTTTTGATTTATGATGCATGTGCATCATTTTAGGCACAGGTCCACCACTGTTCCCAAACCTGCTTTACTCTTCCCTCTTGGGCAGAACCCAGTTAAACAGAGCGAGGCGATGAAGGAAGTGAGTTAACTCATGAACAGAAGTTCAAAAGTTCAAATAATGGTGTAAAAAGAGAAACGAGCAGGCGTATTCATATAGAGCCTCCTGTTACCAAATGCTGTTGTATTGCTGTTAAAAGTGCTCAGTTTATGATCCAGCACATAGAATTTGGAATCAATCATTTATTGCACAACTATGTTTAAAGTTCAAATTTCTCTGTCTGTTTACACAGAATGCAAAAATAAATCTAAAGGGCAACGAACAACTCAGACGTGATCAGGTCAGCAGGGATTTAAATGTGTTTTTAGTCTTTTGTTTCATGTCTTTGTTGCATCAAAATCTTATTGCCTTCCAATTATTTTAATCAATCTTTATTATTGTTGGTTGTTATGGTATATGAAACCAATTATTTTAAGCAATCTTTATTATTGTTGGTTGTTATGGTTTTGTACCAACCTGTGCAACTAGAACCAGACATACCACTAAATAAGAGACAACAAATATCAGTAAATAAACATACAGATAAAGCATAAAATGCAGAAAGCAGATCAACAGCAGTATGATAAATTTAAAAAATCCCTGACATGGGAATAAGGCGTCTTTTTGAAACTCCAAAGCTGCTGTAGTGTGACAGATAGTAGCAAGTAGCTTTGAGGCCCATAAGTCTAATCTTTGAACTCTTAATATAATTTCAGATCCATTTGTAGCTGATCAGCTTTTTGGTAATGTACAGCACAATAACTGGCATGGGATCAAGCTGTGTATCAGTGTACCTTCAGTGAAAGGATCTTATGTTTTGCAACAGAGCACTCAACTGTAGAAATGTACTTTATATTCCACATAGCTCTAAACTGCAGTAAGCCCTTTGTGCATCTCTGAGAGTGGATTTACAAATCAGTATAAGGGTGCTCCAAAGCAGGAAACAGTTTGAAGGGATCAGCATCAGATTTCACTCACCGATCCTCACAGACCCACCACAACATTACATGGATGGCACACACAGGTTTGCATTGGGGAAAATACATATAAATGTTTTCAATGCCCCGACACTGAGAACTTGTTGGAGAAAACAAAAGCTTTGCAAGTTGTCTCAAACATGCTCTGCTGCTGCCTAACACACAAGTATAACATCCTTTACTGAGGAACACGGTGGATCAGTTACAATCTTAAGATTCTGATGTTTGTCCATCCCTTAGCACAGGTACAGTAGTGGAACAAATGATTCTGTGCCTTGCTTGTGAGCTAGAGTCGGCTGAGAGCTGAAAAGAAAGGGAGCAGTCAGATACAGAAGCACAAAGAGTAGCAGAGGAAGAGAATGTGCTTTCTCACAACGCTCATAAATCGAGTAGGTAGATCAAGGCTTATGCTGCTGTCTTGATAAACCTGCACTGCAGAAAGCCTGCAAGGAACAATAAGCTGTTATCTCTCATTTCTCAAAAGGGAGTGAGCAAAAGAAAGGGTGAGACAGCTACCATTAAGTCAGTAAGTATGTTTTATTTCCCATCTCTCATTTCCCTTTGAGTTCTATTCTGTTCTACTTTGTCAAGGGTGTTTCGAGGTGACTGTCACTGCTGAGTGCTGTGTGCTGAGTCTAAGGGAAAAGCTGAAATGTTATTAAACCATAAAAACTTTACAATGTTCCATGAAGTGTTCTTGAATTAAACAAGTGGAGGGTAAACAATGAAATGGAAGACAAAAGCTCTTTTTAAACATGGAACCTGCCACCACACTGCTGGGTTAAAATATCAGCCTGTGTTTTCTGGCAAGCACAGTTTAAGGCATTCTTATTGATTCTGCTGTTTTCGGTGTGACTTTTTTAGCACATTTTCATTTACTGTGTGTACAAACAATGTTTAACTGTGCAGGATTTTACTGTGCAGCATCACAGCTCAGCCGAGTTCTGAAGTAGTCTTGGGTCTTCTTCCACACAAGGACCTCCGCTGCTGGGTGGCCCCTGGGATCACCACCCCACAGGACCGGCATGCGCACAACACCGTGAAAGCTGGATGGGCAGAATGGTATGTAAGGCGGCTCTAAATAATGTCCAGCTCCAGGGTAAGACACGCACTCAAAGTTCTCCTTCCCATGGCGCTTCAGTCTTTCTACCAGCTGCTCCATGTAGGCCTTGGTGTCCAGGTTCAGGTCGTCCTCTGCAGCCGCAAAGAGGAAGTGTCCCTTGGCTTGTTCAATGGGGATCAGGGTGGCCTTGTTCTCCTCTGTCAGGGTACTGGGAATAAAATATTTGACTATGCCAGCCCCAGACGAAGTGTGAACCACCTTCCTCTTGTCATACAATAACGCAGGGAGTAGTTGTTTATTCTTATAGTAGAGAGGTGTACCCATATTAGCAGAGCAGCCATTGATCCACATTGTGGCCTCAACACCTGGTACAAAAGCAGCAATTGAAAGTGCAATATCACTTGCTTTTGATCGTGATAATATTCCAACTCCTTTACTGCCCACCTGTGAAGAAAAGCATGCAAATCAGAGGTGTCAAAATATAAAGTTTACAAATTGGGCTACGAAGGTCAGTCAGGTTATAGATAGAGAGATAAACTATGTATTGTCCCAGTACAAGAAAAGCAATGGAAGTGTGTTTAGTGCAGCTTAAGTGGATGTTTTATTTATTAATTTTTTACCTTTATTTGACAAATACTGAAGATGCAGACAGGAATTATGTGGGTATAGGGGGGAGAGAGTCTGATGTGAAGCACAGGTCCACAGCAAGAATCAAACCATGGACATTTGTTCATTAATACACTTTCAGTGTAAGTGATGGGGACAAAATCCACAGGCCTCCTTCTGTGCAAAATACACTTCAAATTAATGTGAAGATGAGGTGAGGCTTCGGTCCCTAAAGTTAGACGAATACATTTTACAGTTTGTTTTTAGAACAAAATTCTATTTTTTCATTAACATTCCTCTTGGGAGGAAGCTCATAATGCTCAGTATGAACAGGGGGAAGAAGCAAGAAAAGTTTGATTCAATATTCATCTGGGCAGCTTTGCTATGAGGCAGATCAGAAAAACTGTGTCCCTAACCTTTGACTACATCAGTTACTTAACTCGCCTTTGGTTGTCGTCGTAGGAAATCCACTGCTTCTTTAAAGTGGTCCAGATGCATCTGTGTGATTTTATCAGGGTTTTCAGTGTAAACTGGTACATGCAGAACCACAAACCCTTTGTCAGCCAGCAGACAGGGTCTCTTCTCTGACATGAAGGTGCTCAGATCCAACACCGCAGGGAACGGACCTTCTCCTGGGTCATAAGTCAATAATACACATTAAATGCGTTAAAGAATGAGAGAGCATTGTCTGCTGTGAAAAGGGCCTATTGTGGCAGTGAAACCTGAGTGGCTATTGTCATGGTGGCCTAATAAATAAATACAATAGCTAAATACATTCAAAACAACACACTAAAAGGCTGTAAATATGGTCATAACATAAGGAGGAAAACTTCTTACCTGGGGGAGTGAACAGGACTCCCTGAAAATTCCCCTCTTTGACAGAGACCCGGCTGACGCCCTCTCCCCTCAC